CTTATTCATTTGAATAATGTCAAAAAAGTAATTATTATATAATATACTGACTATTATCTACCATGGCAACTTAATTTCTTGTCAATAAATCTCTAGCTAACCAAAATTTGTATGGTCTTTTAGCAATAGCCAACTGTGTGTGGGCTGTAATCTGTTGGTAACATTTACTATTAGGTTTACAGTTGTTTAGTAGGTTATCAGGCTAAGCAAAAAGTAAGTATTAAGCTAAAAGAGTGGTGCAGGCTAGTAATTGTTGGGAATATTATGATGAATGCTTTAATTTTATGATGCTGGTGATCACTTTTACTGCTTCAGGCGGCTTTACTCACTAAATTCTCACTGTCCAGCTGCCAAAAGTCAGATGAAGAAGAAGGAGCTAATCAAGATATTAATATGCTCATATGAGTCACCTTATTAACTTGGATTCAACCTTTTTTGCCTCAGGTTTTGCCTCTCATGCTACATAGAGGTTCTTATTAATGGAAGGTGTTGACTGCATGCAGTAGGAGAAAAAAACCTGGACTGGATACTATTCAGGCCTGAACAAAGTACGTCTACCTCCTCTATTTCCAAATGAAAAACATTTCAATTCAATACTCTTCTGAAAATATTCCTAATGTAAACTGAGCATCATTCTGTTAGGAAACACAATGATTTTAAAGAGGGTTTTAGTTAACAATACAGGTTATTTATTGTTTATGTACTGCCATTATTATAGAAAGCAAACATATATAACTGGAATCAGATTGTTTTATTTTTCTGGACTGATATTAATGTAAATCACTGCAAAAAAAAAATGCATTAATTTTTTTCTGAACCCTGAACAACATTTTATTTTCTGTTTTGTGACAGTATTTAATTAAAATAAGATTAATTATTTAAAACAGCCAGGCTAGCCTCAATTTACTTTTCAAGCTGGTGTTGGCAAGAAAGTATATGAACACTAATACTGAGAGCATTCTCTGCATTAATATACCTCAGTATCTCAATACATCATATAAATGCATTGTTTTTTCTAAAACATAACTGTACTGTATGTTTCTCCTTCTTACCCTCTTCACCTGCCAACTCTTTTACACTTGTGGAAGTCATAAATTTGTGAAGGGGGGGTATCAAAATAAATTTTCCAATAGACGTTCACAATAGTCTTTCAAAATAGTCAACTGATGTCTCTTTATCACAATAACCTATCTCAAATTAGTATTGTTGTTGTTGTTAACTGTATTCTGCTACACCTAAGCTGCAAAAAAAGTCAACAGGGCCACAATAAAATTATACAAGGATATAAGCTGTCCAGAGCATGATCAAATTTATTCTTTATATATGATATATACGAAGTGATATCTTACTGTATGTCTTTGTAAGATATTGAAATTGCATCAAAAATACCCAGAGAAAATGCAACTCCTCTATGATTTCATTGTCTGCTTCTAAAATGTACAGTGTCTCTTCACTTTCAGTGTCTGTTCTTGAGATGTCAGAGGACTAAATAGATCTGGCACTATGTGCTATCAAAATGTGGACATGTTTATGAGAATCAGCTAAGAAATTAGTGTCACTGTGTCTGTTTTGTGCAGACAGGATTGAAAGCAATAGTGCTGCCTTATAAGAGACATATTT